ACTATTATTATTGCTATAATTATTGTTATTATTATTGTCGTTATTAACAATATTATTTTTATTGTTATTATTATTATCATTATCATTACTACTATTACTACAGCAACTACTACTACTGCTAGCAATACGCGTCATATAATAGCTGCGCTGGTAAGAATTCGATCTGCAGTGTATCGACGTTTAAAACAAATACTGACCCCAACTGGACCGCATATTCTTCTCTGAACCGTAAGATCACGATATAACTTATCACATGGTTTGTCTTCATATATTTGTGTTGTGCGCATTGCGGAGTGGATGAACACGAGTGCAAAATTAGCAAAAATCTAACAGGCTGGTTCAAATGATCATCCAGAAAATAGGAATAAAAAAACTGCTTGCAAATTCAATTAAAACGGAGTATTCAGATTAATTTCGTGGAAAAGATTAGGATGATTTTAAAAAAAAAAGGATGGCAAATACTGGAAAAATTTCCACATATCCCTTCAGATCACTTAGCTGATAAGCTACTGACGCGTACGAATGGCTTTTGATACACAATAATGCTCGATGCTAGGATAGAGAAATAAGATGAATTCAGCAATTACAGCTTTTTAAGCAGATATTTTCAGCGTTTGCTAAAACTCAGCTCAGCTCGGCCGCGCAATGTACACTCATTTGGAGTTTAGGTGAGAGCTGCGAAATTCGAAAACTTGCATAAGCACCTAGTTATTTATCTGAATGAGATTTTAGGTGACAAAGAAGTTTACCAGCTCTAGCCCGGCACCAAGTTTTTTGTTGAGCATCATAAATCTCTTTCCCCCTTCTCCCTTCTATTCCCGCCTGGCCTTCCTCTCCAGTCCCCGCCCCTTTTTTCAGTTCCTATCTTCAAGCAAGGTCCCAGTTCCTTTCCAGTCAACAACCCGTCCCAGCCTCTTTGTTACGACCTCCGAGACCTAAATCTTCACCTCCAAGCCTCTGCCTTCTCCACCCACCCCTATCCCGCTCTCTCAGGGATAGGGGTGGGCGGGAGAAGGCAGAGGCTTGGAGGTGAAGGTTTAGGTCTCGGAGGTCGTAACAACTACCGCAACTTGCCCTCTCACCCAGCAAACCACTGCAAGTTGCCTTCCAACCTAGCCAGGTTGAGCCGAGTTTTAGTAATTGCCTTTCTTCGGAGAACCAGGAGTTCGTCTAAAGACAAAATGCTCCTTGTTCCTCCAACTATGTTTTCATTTCTAAACTAGTAGCATTTTGGCACTTTATATTATGTATATATTGCACGTCCAATAATTTTAGTTACTAAAAAGCACCAATTATTAAACAAGAAAGTAGTTTCCTAAAGCAAAAAAACCCTCTCATCCACAAATAATTCATTCTGTCTGAAAATCGGAGGCACTCAGAAGCAGCTCGAGAGGCAACACGTCGCAAAAGTAACCATCTGCTGGAAAAGTCTGTCGATGGCTCCACCATCGGAGAGCTTCCTGTAAGCAAGCTGATGGTGGTTTTGATTCTCTGTTACACGCTAGCACTAGTTTACCGCCGAAACGAATGAACAAACTGCAAAGGGATTGGTTTTCGGATAGCGCTACTTGCCACTGTTATGCTCATCAGTATCTCCCAAATTGCTCGTTCGGAAAACTGCCAACAGTACCAACTGCCTTCTCTCCTCCATACACTTACTAGTATCTTGAGGGAAAAATTTTTGTGTAATTAGGAATTTTTCAAAATGGGTCCACAAATAAGGAACAGTAAAAAAGCAAAGTACGAAGTGAAAAAGCGAGATCACCCAAGATGGGTTCCTAAAAAGCTCATCTGGTTGATGGCCACTAATGCACGGCATATTGGTGCACTACTGTGATTTAAATTGAAAAGACTGGTTGCAGCGGGCATGTGCGACAATTTGTGGGAGATAAAGGGTAGATGCAACATCCTGAGAAAAGAAAAGGAGATAAGGAGGAACGGGAAGGAGGAATCAGAGGAGGATGGGAGGGAGAAAAGGATGAAAAGCATGACCGGAGGACAGCTGGGAGAGGGAAGATGGCATATGCGTCCTTTATTTTTTTCATTCATCTCTTCACCATAATTTTAAACAACACTTTTCAAAATCTTCTTCACCCGCTTTAGATGATTTGCTTAGTAGTGTGTTTACGCAGAAATATCACAAAAAGGTTAATGATAAAAGCATTTCAGAAATGTTTCAGATTTAAATGTTGCAGGAAAATACTGTATCACAGTATTAAGAGAGAAAGGAAAAGCAAAAAATGCAAATTAATTTGAAAGTGAGAGCCCGTCAGACAACATTCCTCTGCTATGCGAGCCCTATGATATCTCTTCCTATAATCCGTTTTTCCAAGAAATGGGTCAATCTGAGATTGGCTAAATTCACCCAAACTTTCCATACAAGCAACTTCAGGACTTAATCCCGTCCAAAACGAGTTTTCGTTTAATACGTGATAAGACTTAACTGCGAAGGTCTGCAAATTTTTGATCTAGTGTGGAAAAATTTTCCTCACAATCATAAAGAGTTATTGATAAATTAACTTCGGGATATGCTGTTTCGTTTACTAGTTTGCGTTTAAGGTTTTGACTAAACAGCTTACGCAGTGTGATTAAAAGTCATAGGAGTATGATGCAAAATAACTGCTTTATTTGCTTAGTTTATTATAAACAAAGCAGGCACGAAAGCATCCTCCCATAGTCTGAGCTATACTTTTGGTCATACTCCAAAACCAAATTAACAGCACTGTCAGCTACTGATTACAAC